GCGCACTCGCACACACACACACACACACACACACACACACACACACACACACACACACAGTTTACGCCAACATATGCTGTCAAAGCTGCTTCAGTGCACCTTGGAGTTCATTTTCCAAGGTTGAGATTTTATGGTAAGGATGAACACAATTCTTCCAGAATATTTTCCCTTCATTTGGTGTTTAAAAAAGGGAGGTGGAGAGCGATGTACAACAAACTGGTCGAAAATCAACTCAATTTAGATTTGAAGACTTTTAAAGCCATAGAATATCATCCACATCATTTTCATACTGGTCAAACCTGTCCCATCAGGACAGAAATGCTCCATCAAAGGATAAAGGTGATTATAACAGTTCTTATATTAATTTGCATAACAGAGCCAGTATATCCCCTGACTGCAAGGTCAAAGGTTCAGGCTTTTCCTTTAATATGTGTCCAGGATGTCTCGGATGCTTTGTGTGGACATGGACATGGATAATCACAGAGGATCTGGCATTGACAGAGTACCAGAATGATCTCATAAGAGCAGATGGCAAAATCAGAAAAGCTTTTCTGCTACGTCTCCTCCCCTATCTTCTCCATTTATACATTTTTAGTCCGTTTGTCTCTTTCTCTCTCTCTATTTGCCACGTTTTCTATTTTTGGCAAACCCTAAAGTTTTGCCACAGGGAGACACAATGTGAAGTAATCCCACCGCTGCCTTGCTCGCTCCCTAATTGTTAGCAGCTGGTCAAAGTAAATTAATATTGCTCTGCACTTAGACCAAGTCTTTTTCATATACATACCTCTAATCTTTAGTGTTAACATTTAAAACTCGATTCTCTTGTGGATACTAAAAAAAACCCTCCATCATGGATCAACGAAGCACAAATGTTTTGTAAGTAAAAGACTAGCATAGATATCTTTTTAAACTGTGTTTTATTTGTTATGTTTCACTGTTCTTACTTGCATGAGGCGCATAAATATTTATGTCTTGTAAAAGAAGTCCAGCCACAGCAACTATCAAAGCAGTAAAGGGAAAATTAGCATTTTTCTGAAAATACATTTGGAGTGAAATCAGCAGACATTTGCTTCATTTTATTCTTCATTTTATTCTCCTTGAAAAGTATGTCTAACCATCATCTGCTTATTTTTACATATACTAAACTGCTAAAACACAGAATTTGTTCAACATTATATTTCATCAAAAATTTTGTCATTGACCTTTATGGGCCTTAAATTTAGAAAAATTGCTGTTATTTTAAGATAATAGCTTTGTAGACTAATGCTTAGTTCATTACAGTAAATGTGGTTTTAATATTACTGTTTTAATAAACAACATGGTTACATTTGAACATTTTTATGTAGTGTGATATAACGTGGTGCTCTGTGTTGACTTTTAGTTCTAAACATTTTATTAAAATTATTAACCTGGCATAACATGAAAAATTTCAATTACAATTTCTGGCTTCAGTGGAACGTTTTAATAAAATCAAACCATATTAATTAAAAATACTGATGAATTTCAGGCTCTCATAGTACATAGCTCAATTAACGTCAGGGAGTCTGACAAAACACAGGGCTTAATAGTTCTTTGCTTCAGTGTAGAGATGAAGATGTGTGCAGCTTCTCTATGAGTACTAAGTGTACAGTAATGAGTTTAATTTACATAAACACATTCTGTTTATAGCTCCATGTTTGCTGATGTGTATCTGCCCCTCCTAGCAGATGGCCTCCCTGCAGCAGCAGCAGAACTCTCTGATGAGGAAAATAAAGAGGACTCTCCCCAGCCCCCCACCAGAGGAGACTCCACTTCCCATTGTTACTCCAGCACAAATGTACAGCTCTCCTGGCATGCACCAGAGGGTCCTTCCAAGACCCGCCCAGGGTGTCACCAAGGCTGGCCTTCTGAGCGAACTAAAAGCTGTGGAACAAGAGTCGTCGAAGCTTCGTAAGCAGCAGGCTGAACTGGAGGAAGAAGAAAAAGAGATTGATGCCAAGCTACGCTATTTGGAGCTAGGCATTACACAACGAAAGGAGACTATGGTGAAAGAGAGAGAGAGGAGAGAATTGGCCTACCTGCGATGTATGGGTGATGCCCGAGACTACATGTCAGACAGCGAGCTCAATAACCTTAGGATTGCAGCTGCAACTGGAACCTTTGACGCTAATGGTTTGCTGACAAGGCCCAGCACTGCCCCACTGAGTCAGTTTACGAATGATCTCACTGCAACTTCCCAGTATCCCTCAACTTCATCTTATATGTCTTATCCATACCCTCAAACATCTACACAGCAACCAGGCTCCACTTACCAACAGATAGGTTTCCAGCCTCCTCAGTACCCTTCATCCTCTGCACCCCAGCCTGGAACATTCCAGCCACATCCCCCACCAGGCCCTGGATATCAGAACCAGGGAACTTATTCCTCACGCATGTATGGCCAGTCCTCTTATCAGACAGACATTGGCATGCAACAGCATGGTCACCAGGGCTTCCATTCACCTGCTCAACCTATGCCAGGACAGAGCCTTCCTTATCCCACTCACAGTTCCTACCAGCCTGGCCTCTCCTATCAGCCCCAGGCTGAGATTCTCACAGTCCATCAAAGACCAAGGCAAACATCTTTGGCTGACCTTGAACAAAAGCTTCCCACCAATTATGAGGTCATCAGCAACCCTGCAGTATCTGTGGCTACATCAGCTCCAGATAGCAGCTATGGTTCAGCTTATGGCAATGCATATGGACAATACCGCCCACCTGAGCCAGGCCTGACTCATTCTGTGGAGAGCCCCACATCTGCTTATGCTACAGATGGTCTCTACACGTCTAACTTAGAGCAGAGTATTCCTAGGAACTATGTCATGATCGATGACATCAGCGAGCTGACAAAAGACAGTGGGCAACCCACAGATGCTCTAGGTCATCCAGTCGGAGGGCGGTATCGCAGTGAGAATGGCCCCGCTCGAGGAAGTGCATATGGCAGGCCAGATGATGAGCCCGTGGACGCTTATGGCAAACCTATAAGTTCCACAGGTTACCAGACCACAGTGGACAGTCGCACTGGCACCACAGTGAGTGGAGGCTCTTCCTATTACTATGATGATTATAAACACTCATCACGCAGCAGCTCTAGCAGCCACAAATTAACTTCCAAGAATCTTGCCCCTGCCGTAGTCTCCTCTAAACGTAGTAAACACAGGAAGCAGGGAATGGAGCAGAAAATTTCAAAATTCTCCCCTATTGAAGAAGCACGGGATGTGGAGTCTGACCTTGCCTCTTACACAATGACAACATCAACGGGGGGTTCCTGTACAGTGGTGTCCAGATCCAAGAAGCTTCAGGATGATGCCACCTACGGGATGAAGAAAAGTGCATACGACCAGCAGAAATATTATGGCACCAGTCGTGAAGGTCTTGAGGAAGAGGACCGCATGTATAGCTCTGGTAGGTCCAGGTCTACAGGATATGGTATGGACAAGATTTCTTCCAGAGATGCCACAGGGCACCGGAGTAAATCGTATGAAAGAGATGCTATGGAGCGATCTCAAAGAAGCAGCCGCAGTGGAAGGCCTCCTATGCGCCAGAATTCAGAAGAGGAGAGCCCGCTCAGTCCGGTTGGAAAGCCTGTCGGCATGGGAAGAAGCTCTGGCATATCAGAAGCCCATGACGTGCGAAACCAGTACGGCTCCAGCCATTCACTTCCAGATGTGCAGGACCATCATAAGAAGGACCTGCCCAGGAGTCATGTCTATAAACCAGATGACCCTTATCTTGTAGATGACATGCATTGTGCTGTTTCTGACAGTGAAGGTAACTGGTGCTGAATTATTTGTGCTGTAGTTTGTTCCTCTGTGCTGAAAAGACTGCATGCCAAGTTTGGAGAACATCACCATTTTTATTTTGATTTATTTTTTTTTTCCTTTGACAAACAATGCCAAAAATGTTTTATATTCATGTTTTGCATGCATAGTTTTTATGTATGAGGTGGGCCGTGAATGCTGCTTCTTTTTTTTCCTTTTGTTTTTTTTTAAACATCTGCATGGCTCTGGAATATGGAGCATGGCTTTACAGATATTTTGCATGTCATCAGTCTGCATGCTACTCCACCCACCAAAGCAATACCACTGACATTGACTGATCATGTCTGTATTGATTTTTGAAAAGCCTATCATTTGGGTCAAGAGGAGACTGACTGGTTTGAGAAACCACGGGAGGCTCGTTCTGATCGCTCAAGACATCATGGAGGCGGGAGTCACTCGTCCACAGGCAGACGTAGTAAACATACTTACCATGATTACGACGAGCCTCCAGAGGAATACGGTCCACAGGATGAGTACAACCAACGCCACTCATCCTCCACACCACGGGACCACCGTCACCACAGCAGCACCCCTGGCAGACACAGCTCTTCCCGCCACTCCACAGAAGACTCCAGGTCCTCTCGGTCTTCCAGGACACACCCCAAAGACCCATCTGGCCGTTCTGATGGCCGGAATTCCTCATCTTTACAAAGAAGGAGCGGTGCAGACTCACGTTCTGCCCAGGGAAGCCCTCGGAACTCAGGAGACTTCTCTCGTGACTCCGGTCATCACCATGGCACTGCAGGAAGGAGTCAGAGGGGACAAGGAGATCGCTCAACGTCCCGGAGACAGGATCCCACTGCAACAGGGCCTAAACCACAGCAACAGCAGACCTCTCAGGGCCATTCTGGACAGCAGCGGTCAGGTGGGCAGGACCAGTCGGGGAGGCATCCAGGCTCTGAGCCACTTGATGGTACCCAACATGCTCAGCAGCAGCACCATCAGCAGAATGCACAGCAGCAGCAGCAGCAACAACAGCAACAACAGCAGCAGCAGCAGCAGCAACCGCTGCAGCAAGGCCAGATACAAAGCAGTCAGCCTATACCAACAAGTGCAGGGGCTGGACCAGCACAGCAGCAGCCAAAAGCTGGCCAAGCTCCAGCACAGGGACGACAGCCTGGAGTAGGGTCGGCAGCAGGGCAACCACCTGCAGCGGTAAGTAGAGCTACATCTGGCCTTGCTTTCCCCATATACAACAACATACATGTTTTTATGGCGACATATTTTAAGTAGTTGTGTTTTCTAAATAATCCACAGAAGCCTTTTATGATGATATAATAATTATAAGCAGTGAATTGCACTGGTGTGTCCTATTCAGCTTTCAAAAACGGTTCCAAATGCCACTATGGATAAAGCTGTTGTTTGATGCTGTTGCTGAAATGCAAGTGTGAGAACAACGTGACTCACTCAGAAATCCACTCAGTAGTTTCAGTTTCCCCGTACTCAGTATTTGTCTTGATTTTTGTTCAGGCAAAAATGGATACCACGCCTGCAGCAGCTGCCACAGGAATGAAACCTACAGCAGGAATCCCAATAGCACCTCAGCCTACCAAAATAGCCACGCCACCTCTAACAGGCATTGGTACGTCATAGTATCACTGTCAAGATGCCATAACCACCACCACAGGCAAAAATATGGCACACAGTACATGATGATTTTGATTTTTTGTTGTTGTTGTTTGTAGGCTCCAAGGCTGCCCCCGTTGGGATCGGTAGCAAACCGGGAGGTATAGGCAGCGCTGCAGCAGGCCAGGCACCTGCTGAAGGGGAGAATGTTCTCACCAAAATACTGCAAGGAGGAGCTGCAGAGCAAGCAGGAAAACTGGGAGATGGTACTCTCATTAATACTTTGATTTACTGAAATAGAGTTTTCCTTTAGGTTTAGTTTTGCTATGATATGGTAAAACAGAGAAATTTATTACAGCTAAAACTAAGCTCTTGGATTTTCTTGTTTTTTCATATTTGCCTTCTTCTCTTTTGTCATTCTTGCAGCTTTGTCCGGCCTTGGGAAGAAGTTCACTTCATTCTGGTGAACTGTAGAGAGGAGGGTAATGAAACTGTAGTTCTTAATAAGAGACTTGTTGAAATTATAAAAATGTATACATTTTTGTTGTTTTTCAAGCTGTTATGTTAGAAGCACGGATTGCGTTAGAGAAATGATGACGGGCTGACATCTGTCAACAGAAATGATGGAACACTTCCAAATTTTGAATAGTTACTGCTCAGAAAATGGAAATATGTGTGGTTATTATTTAACATGTTCATTTTCTTTCTACTGTGCTGCTTTTTTCCAGGGTTTGCAGAGTGGAAATAAGTTGGATTGGTAGCTTTGTACTGGAAAAACCTATGAAACTGCTTTAATACATTTCACTTTTTAGAGGACAGGGAGGAATGCTGAATGCATCAGTGAGTATCTCTACTTTTAGGACAAGTTTGAAAGAGATTTAAAGGGTTTAACGCTCCAATGTATTTATTAATTCTCTGCTTGAAAAAAGGCTGAATAAGAAAATACTTACACATACACTGGCCTCATTGTCTGAATTTTGTTATGTTTAATGTGAGCGTCAACATTTTAACAGTGTACATTTGAAAGGGAATCGTAATAGGTCGACTTTGATTTTTATTTTTTTATTTTTTTGGGACAAAGCACCACTAAGCAGTCGAAAACCACGTCATAATAGTAACTTATTGAAAGATTTGATAATTTTGTATGTAGTAAATGCAGCAGATGTTATGCTATTGATCATTGGTGGTATTTTTTATGCATTTAGGTTTGTGTTTTGGTTTTCTTGGGGTACACCAACACTCCAAGCTGTGAAAACATAAAATGCTGTCTCACTTTGATTAATGGATTAAGTGTTCTATCAGGGTATATTTACATAGATTAGCATAGTCCATGTCTGCATAATGAGAAGACTCAAGTGAAGTGATGACTCATTAAATGTCTTGATTGTATATTTGAACTGATTCGCGGTACCTCTCCTTTACCCCGAATTGCTAAACAGAGGTGGAATCAAAGGATGCCTTGTCAGCACTCAATTCCCCAGACATGGGCGCATGACTGAAGTGGATTAAATAAGGGCGATCGCTTCGTCAGCACAGTGTTACAAGACCTGAGCAGAGGGCTGAAAGTAAGTGGAGGCTTATACAGAACTATGGTCCCAGAATGATGATTGCGAAGACATCTGAGGCCTCATTAGACCAACGGCAAGTCACTTTCACATGCTGCACATCTGTGTTCTTGTGTGTGAATGTATGCCTGTGTTGCTGGTTTAATTAACTTTTCTTTGCATGTGCATTTTTTTTTTACAGTTTTGTTACTGTCCACTTGAAGTTTGTGTAGCAGAGATGATAGGCAGAAACCAAGAGCAAGTGAGGTCTGCACTAGAATAGTTTACCTCCTAACTAAACACACCTCCGATAATCTGGGCCAAGCACACTGGGCTATAATTAGCCAGCGAAAGCTAACTGTGGCGTGGCTTTAGTTGCACACACGCAAAGACACACAGAGACAAGAGCACATGTAGGGACACAGATTCATGACTCATTGTAATTCATTACATGGTAGAATGAACAAATTCTGCTCAATGGAGCAGAATTGCAAAAGTGCAAATAAAGCAGATTTCAAAGCTCGCTTTTTTTTTCTCTTTTGCCTGTGTTAAAACTCACGCAGGGACAAAGTTGAAGTTTATTTGAGTGAAGATCTATCATTTAGCTTTGATTCTGTCTGCTGTCGAGTTTGGATTGATGTCAGCAACCGTGTTGGTCATCTCTGTTGGTTGCCACTCTGAGGAGTCAGAGGGGAAATGTAGAGATAAACCAGACCCAGTGGCTCAGTGAATTACTGCCAGGACCAGCAGGGCTGTGATAGGCTGGAGTGTCATGTGAAGGAGGATGTGGTGGGCAGGCTGCGTCGTGACATGAACAGAAGAAAGAAAGCTTTAATCTCTGTCACTATGTGATTGCTTTTTACAAAAATATGTTTTTTTTAACGTCATTTTTGGTATTTTTCTTTTAACTGTATCGTTTTAATTTAACTAGCATCTGTTGTGCATTAAGGTTTCATTTATTTCTGCCAACATTAACATTTCCATTGTCTCTATTTCAGGTGGATAATGGTCAATAATAATGAGGATGAGGCAAACTGGAAAGAGCAAGTCATGCCTCCCATCCTTTTTTAAAAAAAGAAAAAGTCCTCCTGGGATCTGTGTGACAGTAAAAGCCCCACTAACTGAGGCAGGTGGATATCATAGGGGAAAGTCGGCATGCTCATCCTTGCGTGTCCCTCCTTTGAAGCAGCTCAATGAAGAAAGCCTCACAGCGCCCTCTACAGGGGTTTTAATGTGACACCACTCATGTCTTTCAAGGATACTTGATTCTACTTTGATGCCTTCAGAGTATTTTCATGCAAAACATGGTGGAAAATCAAGAAAAAGAAGTCAGATTTCATAGGTTTTACCTTGTACCAAAGAGACCAATCTTAGCCCTAAAAGGCACCACATATCTGGAGCAGAACCTGCATATCACGACAATGACGACCAACCTGATGACGCCACTAAAACTCTTCAAGGCTTGGTTTCTCTGATCTCTACAGTACATTCCAGTATAGGGAAAATGACCCTGTCTTTGAATGTGTTTTTATTTGTCTTTTATTTTGTTGTTGTTTCAGTGTCTACAGAATGCATTGTGTAAACGTGGACATGAGAATGCACGCACAAATGAAAAACTGCAAAAAAGAAAAAAAAAAAAGCCCATATCAATACTTTTTCACCACCTCGAAGATGCCGCTAGTCATTAGCTGTAGGTTTTTAGGGAAGGGAAATTACTACCGGTGTGCCCACATGTGTGAGATTCACACGGATGAGAGGACCAAATGAAAGAATGGCCACGGCTCTTTATTAGCCATCACAAAGCCATCGTTGTAGTCAGCCCCAGAGCATTCTGGGACTTTATCCTTTTCATTGATTTGGCTCATCTTTTAGTTTCTTTTCACTTTTTTTTTGCCTGATATATTCACTGAATGGAAGAGCCTTATTCGGTACGTTTTTACTTGTATACCTCATATGTTTGAAAACGTTCATATTGTCACGCATTTGTTTTTACACTGTATACTACTGTATGTACATAAGACAAAACAAGAGATATAATTATGTAAATTTGTTGTTTTGTGTATTTAATGAATCACTTTTCTGTGACTTTTTTTGTTATGTGGTTTACTTTGGTAAAACTTTTTATTTATATTATCTATTTTTCACTTTGTATTTATTTGAATCTCTGTTTTCTCGCATCAAACTAATTTGCTTATTCATTTTTAAAAGCAATAGCATGCAGAAAATGCTATATAGCACATAAATGTAGTTTATAGTAGTGAAGGGTATTATCAGACACTTCTGTCAATAACTAGCCGTAATACAATTTGTCAGAGGGTTTACAATCACAGTACCGTGTACAAACATGCATGGTATATGCAGACGCATAAGAGCATGCAGACAGGTACGAACACACTCTCACTTTCTCTTTCTGTCTTTCTCTCACTTTCTCTTTCTCTCTCTACCAATTTCCTGCAAACACACGCACACACATACTGCACACGTTACACACTTTGCATCCCTGTTACACTTCAGAGCCAAGGCTAATTGAGTTCTCTCCAAATAGACCTGTTAACCTCCTGCTGATTGATGAGGTTACCAATAAACCAACAAGATGATCTCACTAACAAGCTGGGGCCACTGCCTCTATTTGTACAAAGACACACACGTACACACATGCGGACACACACACAAACACACACCTACACTCACAGACAGATACAGGAGAGGACGAAAGCAATTATCAATTCAAATGTTCTATGCAATGACTCATTTTGAACCTGGAAGTGATTCAGCCTAAAACAGTTTATTATCATCACTGTACTCACAAGAAAACAAGAGAATTATGAACTACAAAAGCAGAAAAAAAAAAGTACTGAAAACGTTTTTACTTAGCAACTTGTCTGTATGAATTTGAATATTGAACTAGAGTTCTTCTTCTTTGTTTTTTTGTTTTTGTTTTCTGTGGCATGTTTTGACCCCTCACTCCCCGCATGGGGGACTTGTTGCCAAAGGGTAAACTGTGTTAGACTGTCGGTTTTATGAATGTCCACCATCATGTTGCTTTGAAGCATGGGTTTGCTTGGCTTTGTCTGGCTGTTCGTAAGCCCTCATTCAGTTTTTGTGCGTTTTGGCTGACCTGGGCTCCTCAGTGTTTGGCTTGCAGTGACTGTCTGTGCTGCTATAAAACCTGTGATACAGATGGTCAGCACTCCTCATTAATATGTGTCAATGTACATATTGGGTGTCAGTATAACCTGTAAGGATGAATGGAATGCTTCTATCAGATATTTCATTGTTGATTAACCCACTCAGCAGCCAAGCCATTGGAAAGGTGCATGATTAGAAACTATATTCTTGAAAGTTGTACCTGAATTTAAAAAAGGAAAAAAGGAAAAAAAAGGTAAGGCATGATTTCACCGAGGTTTGCCTAACAAACCTTGACGTTCACAGGCCAACGTAGAGAATAACAATGAGTAAAATGTTCAGCCAGTCATTCACAAATCAGGGCATGTCATTTTGAAAGCACAAGCCTGACTGGCAGCACTCGATGCTTGATGAAACACAGGAATATCGAGGTTGCGTGACAGTGCCTCTCTCTGAACAACGTTAATACTTGCATAAAAACACGGTGAGGAGCGACGGCGAGGCGCATGATACTAAACAGAACATTATTAACAGAAGGGCAGACGGGCACGTTCTCACATTCTTACTGTAAATATAAAGTCATTCTTCTGTACAGCTTTTGAGTTTCGAGTACGGCTGTCATGTGCATCCCCATGCCGTATTTGCTGCCAACTTTTGTGTATAAAAAGAATATTTATTATCACAATAATGAGGATGATGACGATAAAACTAATGATGACGATGATCATTATTACTGCATAAGCATAGTGTATGTGGCTGACTTGTATTGACTGTTTACAACAGTGGAACAAACCTTGTATTCAGAAACATATCCAGTCTCTGTGGAGTTTCTATACATATTGTATTTGTTAAACGAGGAGAAAAAAAAACCTCCGTGGCAATTGCAGAGCAGAATGCCTTTGTCAGACTATCAGGAGGTCTTTAGTTTGGTGGGTGTGATCCATGAGGTGACGAAGGGAAGCAACGGGAAAAAAAGGAAACTAAAAATTTGGAAAAATGTCATTCACTGTTGTAAGTGCAATGGGCAAAATGTCAGTCGTGTATCCATTGTGAAACCTTGTGTTTTATTCAGTGTATTCCTGTAAGCAGAGTAAAAATTTTGGTGCATCATGTCAAGTAATGTGATTAATGAAAATATTGACCCTGCAATTTCCAAATGGAGAAAAGAATAAAAAGAAAAGGAGTATATTGTGATTTCTGTCTGGGGTCTCTGTGTGAGTATGTGCATGTGAGACACCGATATAGACTCATAGTTGTAGGCAAGTTGTGCGGTAGGTTTGCTGCCAGCCAGGAGAGGAAAAGATCAAGAATAAGACCCTCGAAGGCAATGATACTGTTCAGATGAGACTAGGCTTTACATGCTGAGGCAGGGATGACTTATCCCGGTGTGGGTGGTAGAGGGGAAGGATCAGCGTGAAGTGGAGCGTTTGCCAATGCATAGGGAGCGATGGAGGTGTGAGTGTGTGAGTATTCGTGACTGAGTCTGCACATGTGTGCATGTCAGAACAAACCGATTACAGTTCCTATCGTCGCTAACGTGTGCACTTGTCACGTGTCGTCTGCGTGGTTTGAAGGATGCAACATGATGAAGATCCTGATTTTTATTCATGATATTCTCATTGAGATTGAAGAATGTACCTTTTAATAACAAATATTCTTGGAGATACTGCTGGATTTAAAATTTGTTAAGAAAACTATGAAAAGGATGGTCTGTGTTTCATATGCACATTGTGCCAGATATTTACCTGAAACCTGAGAAACCAGGTTGATCTGTGTGTCCTGGCTTTTTGTCATCCATGTAATAATAATTCACTGTTTATTTCAATTCTGCTTACACGTATAATGTGTCCTCACCTGCAACACTGTTTGACTTACTGGTCCTCCAAATAGGTTTTGAAGTTGCAGTGCATTCAAGTTGCTGAATTGTGCTTGAATTGATGGCGGTGCAGTACAATAGTGTACTACTCTACAATGTGCTGAATTGCCCATCACCTTACTATAAAACACCACCCACTGAACAGCTCGCCATACAGTAAGAAATCAACACCCACATTTCCTAATCTTGACTGCCCTCAACTGGTGTGATAGAGAATTGGAGTCAATGTCATTTTATTTTTAATGTAAGATGCACACAGTAAAAATAAATAAAATGTGCACTTGTGGATAAGCTCTTTATGATGTTGTTAAAATATTCATTTTAAGTACAGGGCTGTAGAAGGAGCAAGGAGGAACAGGAGAATGAACTCCAATGGACTGTTCGTGTGTACGTTACTTACCAAACTGTAAGAAAGTTACAGCCTTGAGACGACTGCTGTAGTGATTTGGCGCTATATAAATAAAATTGAATTGAATTGAAAGTTCCACATAAGCACTGAAAAAAAATCGTGATACCCTTTAGTGAGACCTGTGCTCACAGCCCAGCATCACGCAGCTCGACTGGCATACGCCAGAGTACACCAGAACTGACAGGTCTGCCATTGGCGCCTTGTTCAGATGAGAGCAGGTTCACACTGAGCATGTGTGACAGGCGTTACAGAGTGTGGACATGACGTGGCAAATGTTATGCTGCCTGCAACATCATGTGTGAAGAGAACGGGACACCAGTGGTGCACCTGCCAGCTCTAATGCTCTTGGATGAATACCAATTAAGCTTTACCTTGCCTGGCTGTGAGCACAGGTCCCAGTAAAGGACAGCGAGCCCTCATGGCACCTTCTCTTTCTGACAGTTTGGCCAGAAGGAGAAAATTGATTCACATCAGCTTCTGCTGGCCGGCTGAACAGATTGATATCCCTGAAGTCTAACCGACTTTGTTGATAATCAAGTGTTAACTTTATTTTTTTGAGCAGTATACTTTATAACTTAGAGTTTGGAGAGGCAGATAGAAATAATGTATTCGTGCATTCGAAGTGTTTAATCATCACACTTCAGGGGTTATTTCTGAATAGAAAAGCAAGAGAATAGCTTAAAAATAATAATATAACCAACTGGAACCCTCTAAATGCAAAACAGGATGAAACCTTAAACTCATCCTTCAGTGCTATGCCCTTGATGCTAATCCTGACTCAGAGGTAGTCAATTATAACTGTGCTGGACTGCATAGTCAAAGACTACACTGGGATGTGAAAGGATTAAACTGAATTTGCACCCGACTTTACAGGCAAAAAGGTCAATGATTTGTTTAATGAGGTCAGTTTCTGTGCTGACCTGCAAATGCAACAATGAAAGATGTTTTGATTACAAAACACACACACCATCACATTTCCTCCAAAGTTTAAGATATGGGCAGCATGTTAAAGAAGAGACATGTTTTCTGGGATACAAAAGATATTCTTCTTTTATAAATGTGAAGTCCAGCTAGAAACAAAACAGAAGTCTCAGCAGTGAGGGATCTATTGGTCCTGTTAATCAGCGTTACCGAGGACCTTACCGAAGTCTTTGATACTTCGAAGGCAGCATAGAGTGGACTTCACAGAAGATATACTCTTTGATACAGATGATGGAGCCATAGGGCCACAAAGGT